TGACCATTAAGGTCCTACAATTCTATGATTTTATAAGACAAAAAGAGTGGAATAATGGAGAGAGAGGCAGACAGGGATTTAGGTGGCTGTGGTTTTATTTCCCAGCACTTCTATAGAAACTCACTGAGCAGGAGATGGCACTGGTAAAACTACTCAATTATCTCACATACCTTGAAAACCATATTACAGTTGGCATTAGTCTGATGAAACTTGATGGCGCACAACACACACATGATTCTATGTACTAAATATTCACTGTCCATTCACAATACTCAACACTTGCCTCCTGATTCAACTGGTTCGCTCAACCTAATAGCTCTACATTGAATCAAAGGATTTTACTAAAGCTGTAGCAGCATCTTATGTGCACCAGCAGTCGGAAAAGAACTCTCCAAGAGCTTCTGGCTGCAATCCAATGCACACTTATCTGGGCGAAACACAATAGGACTTATCTCAAGTAAACCAGCATAGCAGTACAATGTCTTGTAATTGCAACAGAAGGGACAATTAGCACATTTTAATTTTCATATTTGTGAATATATTCTTTTATATATTCTTTCCCCATCACAAAATGAAAAAGTGACCAATATATTAATAATAACAGACAGACAGACAGACAGACAGACAGACAGACTCTGCATCTAAGGCTTATGCAATAACAACAGAATTCTAATGCTGAAACATAGTACATATTATTTTATAGCCTAATTATTCACAAAAAATAAATAAGATCATTGGAATTTTGAAGGACACTGTTCTGTGTCATATGGACAGTGGTACATGAAATTGACTTTGGCAGAGATAGTTCTAGGAGAGTGTTTACGTTCCATGACAAATTCTCACAATGGAAACAGTGACTGCACATTTAACCAAAATGGCAAGTGTCCAGTATGTGCTTTTAGTTTACTGTTGAGGAAATACTTGTGACCATCTTTAGCACAGCACTGCAGGTCATGCCTTAAAATCTACACAGGATCAAAAACCAACTTGGAAATGTGTTCCTGAAATATTTCATTTGAAAGAGCCCAAAATGAAGCATTTGTATATGGCATTACTTTCAGTCAAAGGGTTAAACTGCTGGAAAGTGTTTCACTTTTGGCCAAAATATTTACAAATGTAATATCGCACAGACAAGTTCAAACACAGTGTGCATTCCTTTACATATTTTACAACCTTTTTCTAATGTTTCTCAACAAATTTGTCAACCAACATCCTTCTCAACTGCTAAAGAATGTACTGTGTTTTAAAAGCAAAACTTAATCAGCTTTGCACACTTAATTTTGCCTTATCATGGTTTTCTACTTTATGAATCAGCTTTATGTACACTTCCCAGTTTTGTTGTTTTCTGAAACAGATTATTCAGGTATGTTGAGCTTTATATGTAGAGTTAAACTCTTCATTTACTCTTAATCTTTCATAACAGAGTAATAAAGAATTATCTGGTGATCCTAATCAACAACACAGTTTCATTTTATGGAACCCAGGCCATTTACCAGAATATTTACAAACAAGAAAAATCAAGTTGCCTTATTTCTTTGCCACGGGATATACTAACTTACCATAAATGGCAGTATTGCAGTCAAGCCTCTTCTCACAACCTGAGTTTGATGTCATCAGGTTCAGGTAGCTAGCTCAAGGTTGACTCAGACTTCCAAGGTTGGTATCATGAGTACCCAGCTTGCTAGGGGCAAGTTGTTGTTTAAATAATTATATAGTGAACTGCCCAGAGAGTGCTCTAGCACTATGGGGCAGTATCTAAGTCAAAACAATAACTTTATATGTAAGCGGAACCTGGAGTAGCTACTCATAAGTACTGTAATATAAGATAGTGTTTTCAAGGCATGTTCATCATCCTTGTCAGTGCCCTTGGAGCTGTTTCTTGCATGCACACACATGCCAGAATTTGGAGAAGTTACTTTTTAAAATTATGAGTACCAGAATCCTCCAGCCAGCATGGCCAGTGAAATTTCACAGAGGTGACATAACTCTTTAAACATATTTACTGTGAAAAAATGCTCAAACATATTAGCTGCTGACAAGCAGTAGCAGCTGTAAGACTAATATGGCTTGTCAACCCAGAGATAAGAGGCCAAGGTAGCCATGCTAGTTGGAAATACTGGGACATGTAGTCCAAAAAAAAGCAACTTTTCCAAGTGTGGGTCTGTGCATGCAAATCATATGAAGGAAGGAGAGGGACAAACAAAGAGCAATGGAAGTCAAGTCAGCACTTCCCCCATGCTAATAACACTGAGCTGTGAGATCAGTCAGTATCAGTAGAAGCTATAGGATCTCAGGTGGCCTTATCTACAGCCTCCTAAATGACCATCTATTGACTAACTGAAAAGCCTGTGTATGACTAACTAGATACTTTGGCTGCCAAACTGCTGGCTTGCCTCCTTTCTGCAGATTGAAAACATGCCACCATATTTGTCTTGCAGCTGCTGCTGTTTGTTAGAGCTCAATAAACTTGGCCAATCATGCCCTAGCAACAATGGTTAAAACACTGCAAGATCATGCCAACAAAAGAGATTGAACCCCTTCATCAAGATTTGAACATTGCCTCATTGATAACTAAGTTTAAACCTACAAAAGCACTACCAAAGCTGTGGAAATGCAAGAGATCCTACATTACCTCTACCAGAGGCTATGCAGGCCCTGTAAGCAGCAGCACCCTTTCTAAGCAGATTAACATAGGCTGTCATCAGAGGCTTCCAAACACAGTTGTTGGATAGTTGTTGCAAAGGAAATTTGGATTTACTATGTACCATGCAAGCTTAAATCTGTCAGTGACATTTAAGAAATTTTCAGTTAGGAAGAAATCCGATACAGACATACATGGCTCTATTATTTCTGATTCCCATCATACAATAATGAGCTATACAGATGATATAACAAAATGGTTTCCATACTCCTTTGAGAACTTCAGATCTGGCCTGTCTACATAAAATACAGACTTCCTCAGCTAGACACCCTCAGAATGTGTTGAATTACATTTCCTATAATCCTGCAGCTAGTGGCCTTGGGATGGTAAGATTTTGTCCAACCCATCTGGAGGGCACTGTCCTGGGAAGGTGGGCACAGGTTGTGATATACATAGACTACTATGTATAATAGGGAGTTTCAATGGACCAAACCATTTGGTCCAACCAACACCCTCCAAAATGTCTGGGCTACAGCTCCCATCATCCAGCTAGCATGATTGTTGCCTGAGGATTCTGGGAATTGTCATACAAATCATTTGCAAGGGACTGAGTTAGAAGAAGCTGAACTAACTTTTATTTTCTCTGGCTACCAAGTCTAATTTTGCTTTTGCCTCTGTCCAGGGACTGAACTTGATACCTTCTTCAAGCAAGGCATGTAATTTACGACTAATTTATAGTCTATCACAGTTACTATTACAGTTAGTTAGCTCCCAGAGGGTTAGCTATTCTGCATTAAATTATTCCTCCTTAATTAATATCTTCTCACAATACAGTACTTAGACTGACTTTGGGTGAACTATTACCCCACATACTTTTTAATTTGTGCTACGGTAGCAAAGTGTACCAAAACTTCCATAGTTGATTAAAGAACCAGGAACTTCTGTGTGATACCAAATAACATTTAAAAGACCTCCAGTGACTAAACCATAGAATGTATGGTCTGGATTTAAGGCACTAATCAGCTATGAAGCACACTTACAGCACAACCTTATACAGTACTCAGAACTATATGCCACTGAATGAGTTCACTGTGACTTTCTTCCAGGTAAGTGAACAGATCATTGGTGTCACCATGATCTTCTACTTCCTTACCAGTTTGACTGATTTAGTAGTCTTTATGAAAATAGGATTACCCTCAGGTCAGGTGTGTCAGACTGAGTTTCTTAATAAAAAGATTGGGATGTAACTTAGATGAAATTTGGTCTTTTGCTCCAAAATAATAATAATAATAATAAAAGGCAGGTTAGGCATGTTTAGATAAATGTGAAATAAATTAATATTTTCCGAAGAGCTATGTTTGAGAAAGTGGATTTTGATTCACAAAGGTTCACACTGAAAAATTCTCCTAGTCTTTAAGATACCACAACATTTTGTCCCCCTCTTGTTCCTCCCCCACTTTAAGTCTGCCAACAAATATTTGGATAGTAATTTCATTTTAAAGGTCTAAATTTAAAAAGGTGTGGGCAGGAATAGCGGGAGGTAGTCAGTGTAGTGGCAGAGTAGGACTCGGGAGATCTGGGTTTGAATCCCTTGCTCTGCCACAGAAACTTAGGGTCAGGGAGGTGGGGGTTATAATGAAGTCCTATTAGGGTCACCTTGAGTGGAACTGGGCCTGATAGCAGACAATACACACAGTATGCTGCTAACTGCCTCATTTCCAAAGCCATTATTTATGTCAACTAAATATCTTACTACATGCATTCATAGTGCCTGGAAATCTGCAAAGTACAGTGTGAAATAACACTCTTCACCCGCTGAGCAACAAACCATCTAAAGTTCAAATCCAGAGCCCACAAAAAGAAAGCGAGGGCAAACACGAAGAAGAATGTTCATTTATTTACTTATTTATTTATTTACTTATTAGGGTACTATGAACTGACCCAAGAGGCTAATCAGAGATCTATTGAAGCTTCGCCCAAGCCAGTGGCTAACAGAAGGGCTTAGCTACAACTCTCATCATCCTCATCTGGCTCGCGAGTGGATGGGAGTTGTAGTCTAATTAATCTGGAGGAAGAACCGGCTGAATGAGAGAGAGGGAGAAACTAAGAAATTGATTTATGGTCAAGAGAGGACACCGTGAAGGTTCCCCCCCCCACACACACACACACACTCCTCGCTCCATTTAAGAGAGCAGCTTGAGATTAGTGTAACCTGAGGCCTCCCTGAGCGCCTGCTGAGAAGACCCTAAGGAAACAGAGCGATCCGGGCAGCTTGTCAGCGGCCAGGTTTTCCTTTACCAAAGTTAGTTCCCCCCCCCCCCCCTCTGGGAGGAGGAAAGGAGGGGCGGGGGAGAGAGAGAGAGAGAGAGCCAGGGGATTCGTGACGTCACTCGGGCGCGGAAATAAAAAGGTGGTCCCGCCGCCAAAGGGAGAAAAGTGGGAACTTTTCAGGGCGGGGGAAGTTTTGCTCCTGCTCGCCCTCGGAGCCACGGAAGAAACCCTCTTCTCCCCAACGCTCCTTTGTGTTTCAGCTCCCCTGGACGGAGGTACTGAGGGGGCAAGACGGCCCTGATTGTATACATCCTGTCAGAAACCGGCTGGGAAGATGCCTCAGAACGTGGTTCTCCAAGGACCGGCTCCTTGGGGTTTCAGGCTGACCGGAGGGATAGATTTTAAGCAGCCATTAATCATATCCAGGGTATGTCTTTTTCTTTCTCTTCTGGTCGGACAAATATAAGTCAGCGAGATTAGCACCAGGGCTGTTTTGATGCCATCTCCTCCTCCTCCTCCTCTTCTTCCTCCAATAGGGGGAAAAGCTGCTTTCTTGCAGAAGGGCACCCACACTTGCTCAAGGAAACATGACTTGGGGAGCCTAGTGGACAGACATGGCACCATTATTTTGGGTTATCTTGAAAGCCTACCTCTATGACAGAACCCATGGATCTTGGTTATAGCCCCAGTCGTCAGGAGGCTTAATTTTGCATGTAGCTGCATATAGAGTTGTATTGTGTGATTTGTGTTGTCTATGCTGTGTTGCTTGTGCTCTTTATATGATGAGATGTGCAGGACTGTTGGATGTTTTATGGCTGCTGCTGGCAGGGGTACACTCTCAAGAGTGGCCCAAAATATTTAACTGCCTGAGGCAGGAAAGCGAGAGTTGCCCCTATTCTTGAAGTTGTAGTATCCCAGCCCAGAAAAGTTGTTTTCTTGGAACAGAAAATCCCACCTCAGGGGCTTTTCCTCCCATAGGAATTCAGAGATATGTACAGATGACAACTCGTAAACAGACACTTCTGACTTACAGAGGCAAAAAAACAGTTTCGAATGGAGATTGGGGGGAAGAAGTCAAGGAAGAGGCTAAGTCGCTCCCCTCCTCTGCCACTGCTTCTCTCCTTTGGATTCTACCTCCTCTGAAGTAGCTTTACTTTCCTTAAAAGAGACATAAGGGAACCCTTGGTTTCCGTTGAAAAGCTGGCCCCTCAAGCAGCTGGAGCATAAAGTGGTTTCTTTTTGAAAAGGATGAACACAGTAAACTACGAACAACCTAATTATCCCCATCTTTAGATAGAAGTACAGGAAACAAGTTGAGGCATTACTTGAGCTGGCTTCTAAAGATGTCAGCTAGCATGGGGATCGTACAGCACAGCCCCAAGAAAGTCGATTCAGAAGTTATGTCCTGTTGAATTCAATGAGGCTCACCCCCAGGTAAGTTGGTGTAGGTTTGCAGCCTTAGCTTGACATCTGCTCATGCCATCAGACTGAAAAGATGTCAGAGCGTCACAGTGCCTTCCTATATTTACCTCATGAAGAGTTGGGTGACTTTGGCAGGTCCAGTGGCCAATTTTCTGCCTTAAGGGTCATAAACCACTCACAAAGCCATAAAACACAAAACAGTGGAAAATAGGCATTTGGGTGTTTTGTGGGGTGGAGGGAGTTACTGTGACCTGACCTATTTAAAAAGCAAATACTGTAGCCAGTCCTGGAGGCTACCAGAAACTGCAGTTTGGAGGGGGGAAGTTGGTAGGTGGTGGAAAAACAAGGGACTAAAGGTTGCAAAACCAACTGAGAGAGGGGGGGGGAAACATATGGTCCCAGGACCACACTTTGCCCACACATTCCCTAATTTATTGCATCAGAATTATATTAGGACAAACAGGACTTACAACATGTTGTCCTGTGTAACTCTACTCCTTTCTGTTCAGGGTTCCAGCCAGCCTGCAAAATGACTCACAGTGTAGTACAGGCTTGAGGAGGAAGGGAGTTTTCGTACCATTTTTTCCATATCTTTCTCTTGCTTCTTCTGTTTTTCCTTGTATTATGCACCAGAGGGCTAATTTTGAAGCTTAAGCATCTCATTGCTGTTTGGAGTATGTACATCTGAGTTTAGTATTTAAATTCTAGAGAATGTTATAATTCCCCCCCCCCCCGGCATAGTACTGTAGAAAGAAACTGTGACCTTTCAGGATACACATCCACAGAATAGTAACTAGGGTAGAAGCACCAAAACTAGAGGTCAATCTAATGGTGAGTATGAGCGGGAGATAAATAAGGATGTGTCCCGCCCTCTTTTGTTTTTTTTTTTTTTTTTTTTTTTAGATGTGTCCCGCCCTCCTTTTTTTTTTTCTTTGAAGGCATAAACTTCCTCTTTTATGAGGGAATACCACATTCTCTTCCTCATTTTCATGAGAGGGTGGCTGGTGCCCCCATCTCAGTGCAGAGAGAGTGGAAGTGTTCCTTGTCCTAGAAGACAAATTTGCTAGTTATGGCACATCCACCAAACTCAGATTCCTTCTTCTTGTATGGTTCAACATGGTGTGAGGATCCTGAGTACTCCTCTTTTTTTTTGTATCTGTCCCCCCAGGTGATACATTCTATATCTGGGATGTGACAGGGGCTGGACTCAATGATCCATAGGGTCCCTTCCAGCTCTGCAGTTCTAGGATAATGATGATGATGATCACATTCACTATTGCACTTAGTTTCTGCTTCCTATAAAGCATAGGTGGGTCACATACAACCTATGAGATGCATCCCCCCAGTCCCAAATCCTAGCACCCTTTGGATCCTCCCAACAACCCTTATTAATTTTTTAATTCTGTGCTCAACAAACAAACAAACCCCTTCCACGCTTTACAAGCAAACTTCCATGTTTGTTTTGATACCCCAGAGGGTTGCATTCCTCCCACACTTCTCAAAGTTTTGCTCTTTTAATTTTTTTAATGCCACCACAGGACAGAAAGAGGCTTTTTCAGCTAAAATTTTTTTCCTTCATTATTTTGAGGAATGTGAAGTTTTGCAACTCCCAAGGTCAAGCAGTGAGCATGTGTGGCTCCTGGACCCTTGGAAATTTCTTTGGAGGCCTCATTTTCTCTTTGACAGCTATAGAAAACAACAAAAAAATCTAGATCTTCACATTATATGGGCCACACAGTCACAAATACACACATTCATTAAAATTAAAATTAGCATCAAACAAGAGTTCCTTTAGCGTTCAGTATGAACCTGGAATTTTCACATTGAACACCCAGGATTATGGGGTGAGTTATAGCAGTATCTGTTCTGGCTCCCAGCTTAACTGCTTTCATTTTCTGTAAACACTGGAAATTAACAAATTCTTTCTGGATCATTAGATTTTTAAAAAAAATTATTTTTGTTTCTGTTTACAAACTTAGCATATATCTGATACTCCCAAGATATCACTCCATGGAGGTTTCCTTTTTCGCGTCCAAATTGTTATGCAGTCAACTACCTATGTTCACTATTAGCGGGCACAAACCACTACTATAAGATAAGATGGGAGTTTTCAGGGTTTTTTAAATTCCAAATTTATGCAGCAAAACCAGGGAGCTGGACAGGGGACAGATTGGATTTGTAAAATTCATTTTGCCTATTCGGTCACAAACGTGATACAAATACAGAGGATGCTTACCTAAGAGCTCCCCTGTGCATGATGCAGATAATTTTTCATATTTGAAATATTTATATATGGTGTCTTGTTTTTTAAAATCCCAGAGCAATTTACAAGCATGAAGGATGCCTACTCCTACTTTGCCTATTCAGTCACAAACATGATACAGATACAGAGGATGCTTACTTAAAAGTTCCCCTGTGCATGATGCAGATAATTTTCATATTTGAAATATTTATATACGGTGTCTTGTTTTTAAAATCCCAGAGCAATTTACAAGCAGTAAACATAACAGTCAATCCCTTTCTCTCTCCTTTTTGCAAATCCCAGAGGTAGTTTGCAAGTAGCACACATGACAATCAGACCATTTGGAAAACACATAATAACCCAACAGCTCATGGCTATGGCAGAAACCAAAGTTTAAAAAAATTATTTCAACAAGCACTTAAAACATGTGAAATTTGAGGATGTATGTATTGCATACTGGAGATTATTACACTGGATAGGTGCCACCACAGAGAAGACTTGTTTCTGGGTTGTCACAAAAGAGATTCCCTTGAAGACTGTAATAGCCTGAGAAGTTGATATGGGAGAGATGCTATTTGAAGCAATGTGTTCCTGAATTGTGCAAGTATTTTAGAATCCCTCAAGGTTACCAATGCCTAAGCTATGCTTGCCAGGAGCCAGTGTAGATTTTATAGAGCAGCATTTGGTATTTGGTCATGTAGTCCCTTTGGCTGACAGTAGTATGTTTGCACATCTCAAAATTAGCCTAATGAGATAGCTCACAAACGGTGGGCCAGGAGAATGCTAACAGGCAATACATTTTACCTAATAATAACTGAACAATTGAAAGATAAGACATGAATAGCTGTGATGAACATCTTCTGATACTTTCATTTTTGTCATTACGGGATTGTTTGCCAAGGATAACACTTACCCTATATGTTATATGCAGCATTTCTCTTTCTCCTGCATTGTGTGTGTGTGATTGTTTTCAAATCTTTGGGTTGATATCTTGTACTGTTGACATTTACAATGCAGTCCGAATACAGCAGAAGTAGGGAATCTCTGGCCTTCCAGTTACCATCAATCCCAGGCACCTGGCCAACAGTGAGGCATGGTAGGGCTGTAGTTAACATCTCAAGGACCACAAGTTCCATATTGTACCTACAACATTTATTCCCTACTCAAAAATGAGATCCTTGCTTAGAATTTAGTTGCACTGAGTTCTGTGGCACATCCTCCCAGTACAAGATTGCAGCCTTAGCAAGGGAAACCTCTCTATTACTGTTCCCCACTAATTACAATTTTGCTTTTAAATTGGCCACAACCTTGAAGGCAGGCCTCTGTGGGTATAAAAATATATAACTTACATCCTTGCCAAACTGAAATCCCATTGAAAATATTATGTGCCTGTTAAATTACTGCTCTCTGACTGAAATAAAGGTAACTGTTTAAAAAGCGATTAATTGCTTGGATTACCCTTTCATAGATAACGGCAAACATTCCTATAAAGTATACTCTCAAAATCTTTTTTTAACAAACAATTTCTCTTTCATTAGGTACTATAAAAGTACTACTGATCTTTTAAAGAACTGGAATTTGTAACAGTACAATTTATTGATCCTGTTAACTCTACTACTGTTTTTAAAGTGCTATACACGTGGATTCAGCATAAGAAAATTAAGAAATTAAGGCATATTGTCATCTATGAAGACTTGCAGTACTTCAAAGGAGAACTTAGATAACCCAGTGGTTTAGGTGCCTGACTGCAGAGACAGACATTG